AGGTCGATAGATAGTGAAGAGATGTTTGTTCCCATTTTTGTATAACGGCAATATTTTAGCTATTTTCATTTTACTTGGGAATGAACCCGTTTGAAATGACAAGTTACTAATATATGTAAATGGTTTAGAAATCCCCTCAATGACATGCTTTACCAGAAGGAGTAGAAGTTGCATCAGTCCAAAAAAAAAGCATCATGAAGAGAAAAATACATGTAAGTCACTTCAGTGTATAAGTCACATTTATTATGCATTTATTTAATTGTCAAAACAGCTTTATTTCACCTGGGCGGCATGGCGCCATCCATCTATTCATCCATCCATCACAGCCAGAGCCACTAGCTCTCCAGCATTCCTCCGCCTGCACCAACTGAGAGAAGCGAGCGCGCACGGGAGGACTCGCTGTTGCAGTTCTTCGAAATTTAAAGTGTCAGTCAAAAATGGTTATGAATATGAAAAACAAACGCATATAAGTCGCTTTGGCGTATAAGTCGCAGGATTGACAATCTGCAAAAAACTGACTTACACGCCGGAAAATACGATACTTCTGGATCAATTACACTGCAACAACTGAACATAGTAGTTCTAAAATAATTTACAATAACTTTTAGCACTTTTATATTTTGTGATGATGATTTTACGATGTGACATACTTTGAATTTTAAGTTGGAAGACAAAAGTCGATTGGTGCATCTGGGCAGCAAAGGGGTTTAATCCTTCACAAATCCAATGCAGCAGGAGAAATGCAGGAGGGAGCTTGCACTTGTGGGCTGCACACAGGTGCTAAATCATTTTAAATAATTTACTTTAAATAAACAATCTATGGCTCATCCAATCAGCCAACTGTGTCATGTCCAGTCTTACTATGAAAAACAACGATAGAGCAAATCTGCGAAAAACAAACCGTGAAGGAATCAAATTTTCAATCTGGATTGTGTTCTATAACTATAATTTGTGACATTTTGTTTATTAATCCAGATAAATGCAGCTGTTTTAAAACACAAACACACCCCACTTTGCATATTGTTGCCAGGCTTTTTGTGATGTTCCATTTCCCTGCCTCGACAGAGCAGCTCCTCCACCTCTCGCCATTTTGTTTTCATCTGATGTGACATTCCAACAGGTTACAAACTGGATTCCAAAAAAGTTGGGACACTAAACAAATTGTGAATAAAAACTGAATGCAATAATGTGGAGGTGCCAACATCTAATGTTTTATTCAGAATAGAACACAAATCACAGATCAAAAGTTTAAACTGAGAGAATGTATCATTTTAAGGGAAAAATCTGTTGTTTCCAAATTTCATGGCGTCAACAAATCCCCAAAAAGTTGGGACAAGTCCATTTTTACCACTGTGTGGCATCCCCCCTTCTTCTTACAACACTCAACAGACGTCTGGGGACAGAGGAGACCAGTTTATCAAGTTTAGAAATAGGAATGCTCTCCCATTCATGTCTAATACAGGCCTCTAACTGTTCAATCGTCTTGGGCCTTCTTTGTCGCACCTTCCTCTTTATGATGCGCCAAATGTTCTCTATAGATGAAAGATCTGGACTGCAGGCTGGCCATTTCAGTACCCGGATCCTTCTCCTACGTAGCCATGATGTTGTGATTGCTGCAGAATGTGGTCTGGCATTATCGTGTTGAAAAATGCAGGGTCTTCCCTGAAAGAGATGATGTCTAGATGGGAGCATATGTTGTTCTAGAACCTGAACATAGTTCTCTGCATTAATGGTGCCTTTCCAGACATGCAAGCTGCCCATGCCACAAGCGCTCATGCAACCCCATACCATCAGTGATGCAGGCTTCTGAACGGAGCGTCGATAACAACTTGGGCTATCCTTGTCCTCTCTGGTTCGGATGACATGGCGTCCCAGTGTTCCATAAAGAACTTCAAAATCGTGACTCATCTGACCACAGAACAGTCTTCCATTTTGCCACACTCCATTTTAAATGACCCCTGGCCCAGTGCAAACATCTGAGCTTGTGGAGCTTGCCTAGAAATGGCTTCCTCTTTGCACTGTAGAGTTTCAGCTGGCAACGGCGGATGGCACGGTGGGTTGTGTTCACTGACAATGCTTTCTGGAAGTATTCCTGAGCCCATTCTGTTATTTCCTTGATAGTGGCATTCCTGTTTGAGGTGCAGTGATGTTTAAGGGCCCGGAGATCATGAGCATCCAGTAGAGTTTTACGGCCTTGACCCTTGTGCACAGCGATTGTTCTAGATTCTCTGAATCTTTTGATGTTATGCACGGTTAATGATAACTTAATAGTCTTTGCTATTTTATGCTGGGTAACACCATTCTGGTATTGCTGCACTCTTTCTGCGCAACAATGGTGGAATTGGTGATCCTCTTACCATCTTGGCTTCTGAGAGACACAAACACTCTGAGCAGCTCTTTTTGTACTCAATCATGTCGTCAATTGATAATAATAATAATGAATTTAATTTGTAACGCACTTTTCATTAACAAAAATCTCAAAGTGCTACAGAGTGCAACTAAAATCAATGATAAAATCAACTAAAATCTGTGATAAAATCCACTAAAATCAATGATACAATCAACTAAAATCAATGATACAATCATGTGGAGGCAGAATAGGCTTGCTTAAAAAGAAAAGTCTTAAGCCTTTTTTAAAGTCAGTCAATGATTGTGGAGCTCTCAGATATTCAGGGAGGGAGTTCCAGAGGTGGGAGGCAGCCACACAGAATGCTCGATCTCCCATGGTTCTTAACTTAGTTCGTGGAAGGTGGAGGAGATTACTGTTCTGTGATCGTAGGGACCGGGTGGATAAATATGGAGCAAGAAGGTCCTTCAGATAATCTGGTGAATTTCCGTATAAACACTGATGGGTGATGAGAGCAATTTTGTACTGAATTCTGTAAGTGACAGGAAGCCAATGGAGGTTATGGAGAATGGGTGTAATATGTTCAAATTTACGAGCTAATTAGTGTCAATTGGTCTTCCAGCTGTTCTGTTATATACTCAATTTCCTTTTTCCAGCCACTTATTGCTACTTGTCCCAACTTTTTTGGGATTTGTTGACACTGTCAAATTTTGAATCAACACATTTTTCCTTTAAAATGTTATTTACTCAGATTAAACTTTTGATCCGTCATCTATGTTATATTACGAATAAAATATTGACATTTGCCATCTTCACATCATTGCATTCAGTTTTTATTCACAATTTGTTTAGTGTCCCAACTTTTTTGGAATCCGGTTTGTACGTTAGCCTCAAAAGTCTTAGCTTCATCAGCAGGTCACCCAGCTGCTGCTTGGTGCAGCAGAAGTGTGGAGCTACCTGTGGTACATGAAAATGGGATGCAGGGTAAAGAGCAGCCCAATAAGCAGATTTCAGAGTTGTTTTTTTGTGAATTCACCATTTTACCTCACGATCCTGCTGTTATGGTTGATCCAGTCGAGGGCAGATCTTTCACAATATTCCCATTTTTACTGGGAACTCTGCGACTAGATAGCAGCACTACTTTCGGAATAATCAGCAACATCATGCAGGTTTTAATAAAATACAACTCATTACCTATACATTAATGGTTTAGTTCAGTATATGGCAAGCACCTCAGAATCCATGCAGCTCTGGAATAATCAGTGTTTGGAGTCACTGAAGACTGCAGACTTGAGTTTTCTAAACGAGAAAAGTCAGAAATATAGGTGCACTATAAAATCATTGTCTGTTTAACAAAACAAGACTTAAGCTAGTCCCAGACTAATACGCCATTTGAGCTTGTTTATCTCCATTTACAATTAAATACTCTAAATTATTTACTCCATTAGGAGTTGAACCTCTGGATAACATGTGCCAATAAAGACAATTTGAAGCAGGTGGGGAAAAAAAAAAGAAAAAAAAAAAAGAAGTTATTTTATTTGAAGTGCAGAAATTGTAGATATTTTTCTAACAAAGAGCAATGTTTTAGTATTGCACATTCCCCGAGAAATAATCCAGCTGACTGAGGTCGCATCTTCATTTCAGTGAACTGAAAATTTCTTGTGCACATGTGAAAAGCTACCCAACGGATGTGCCCAGCAGAAATATAGGGAGACAGAATGGGTGTACACAACTTGTAGAAACAACTTTACCAATTTGAAGCAATATTAAACTACTGTTGTGCATCATCCATTGAAGTGAGTTTCAAACAAAGTTCATGTTGGATTTTTAAATTTTATCAAGTTCACCTGAGCAGTGAAATCTACTGTAGCAAGCTGTAGACAATTTCTAAACATGTGGTGTACAAGAGACTTTAATACAAACAAGTTTTAAAGGAAAACCTTTATTAAACTCAGCATTAGACAGCTTGTTAAAAGCTGAAAACAGTCTAATGGGAAGCGGAGTCTTGTCACTTAATTTTCAGGAGCCTCAAATTGAAAATTGAGAGTTGTAGGGAATCACGGGAAAAGACTCCCATAAAGATTTTGAAACATCCCGAGTCCGAGATCCAGGTCTGTAATTTTTTCCCAAAGACTCCCATAATGATTTTGAAACATCCCGAGTCTGAGATCCAGGTCTGTAATTTTTTCCCA